GGGTGGGTAGGGGTGGGGATGGGTAGGGTTGGGTGGGGATGGGCGGGGATGGGTGGGGATGGGCGGGGATGGGGGGGGGTGGGTGGGGGTGGGAATTTGCGTGGCACAAGGTGGGGATGGTTGGGGATGGGTGGAGATGGTTGGGGGTGGGAATGGGCGTGGCACAAGGTGGGGATGGTTGGGGATGGGTGGAGATGGGTGGGGTTGGGAATAGGCGTGGCACAAGGTGGCCACAGGTTGCTGTATGTATGATCAGATGCCTTCTCTGTGTTTGTCTTTGGCGACCGCCTGTACTTCCACAAGGCGCCTGATCAGGAGAAGCTTCACAGGGAGACGTGCCACAAGGTATGTTGGACGAGGGGACTTGGCTCAGCGTGGGGATGGGTGAGGGAAGGGGCATGCCAAGGTGGAAATACCTTTCACTCTCTCTCACCTCTCACTCTCTCTCACGTCCCGCTCTCTCTCACGTCCCGCTCTCTCTCACGTCCCACTCTCTCTCACGTCCCACTCTCTCTCACGTCCCACTCTCTCTCACGTCCCGCTCTCTCTCACCTCTCACTCTCTCTCACGTCCCACTCTCTCTCACGTCCCACTCTCTCTCACGTCCCGCTCTCTCTCACCTCCCAATCTCTCTCACCTCCTACTCTCTCTCCCCACCCCTCGACTCCTCCCCTTTTCCCTTCTCCCTTCGTGCAGCTGAAGGCGCTGCACCAGTTTGACTGTCTGTGCGCCAACAAGGCCACCATGGCATGGGGGCTGGAGGCTGGTGGCGAGGCGTGCTTGTTTAGCCCATGCTTCAAATTCCCCAATTCTCCTCCCCCCTCCTTTTCACCCGTGCAGCTGAAGGCGCTGCATCAGTTTGACTGCCTGCGCGCCAACAAGGCCACCATGGCGTGGGGGCTGGAGGCCCGCGTGCCCTTCCTGGACAAGGAGTTCCTGGAGGTCGCCATGAGCATCGACCCCGAGGCCAAGATGGTATGTTGAGAGCGGGTGCAATCCTGACGCTGTTCCTCCTGTGACTGCCTTCGAGTGTGGGCCATTGCATGGGGCCTGGAGGCCCGAGTCCCGTTCCTGGACAAGGAGTTCCTGGAGGTCGCCATGAGCATCGACCCCGAAGCCAAGATGGTGTGTCTGAGGGGAGAGGTGGAGATCCGAGGTGAGGGTGACGTGTCTTGGTAGGTAGGGAGTTCCTGGAGGTGGCCATGAGCATTGACCCCGAAGCCAAGATGGTACGCTCTGAGAGGAAGGGTGGGATAGCAGAGAGGTGAGGGTGGCGTGTCTTTGGTAGGGAGCTCCTCAACAGGGAGTTCCTGGAGGTGGCCATGAGCATTGACCCCGAAGCCAAGATGGTACGGTGCAAGTGTGTGCAGTCTGTCTACTTCCTGCCACTCCTTGATATAGAGTTGCTCGCTTTTCGTGATGGAGGCCTGCCTAACTTTCCTCGACAAGGAGCTCCTTGGCGTCTGTCACCATGAGCATCGACCCCACCCTTCGTGTAGTAAGTCGATTTTTGAGTCGACTCAAAAGTCGACTTTCCTCGACAAGGAGCTCCTTGGTGTCTGTCACCATGAGCATCGACCCCACCCTTCCCTCCCTCCCTCCTTCCCTCCCTTCCTCTCTCCGCTTCTCTCTCCCTCCGTCCTTTTCATTCTCTCCCCTGTATGTGCAGATCAAGCCCAAGGAGGGGCGCATTGAGAAGTACATCATCCGCAAGGCCTTTGATGACCCCGAAAACCCGTACCTGCCTCGTGTAAGCACACTCCCACCCACCTTCCCGGTGTAATTACAACCCCTCTCCCTCCCACTGTTCGTACTTTCCTCACGTAAGCATCCCACTGCAAATTGAGGAAATAGTTTTGAATCTATTAGTTCATACATGCCAATTGAAGCCTAGATAGAGGTACAGAAATACTTTATTAGACACTGAAAACTGGTACCTCCCACCCACCCATTCATACCTGCTCCCCTTCCTCCTCTTCTCCCGTTCACACTTGTCTCTCCGTTGCGTCCCCTTCACCTCCCCTTTCGCTCCTCCCCTCTTTCACCCCCTTCCTTACTGCAGCACATCCTGTACCGCCAGAAGGAGCAGTTCAGTGACGGCGTGGGGTACAGCTGAAGCAGCAAGCGTGCAATGTTTCCTTCCTGTCGTCCTCCCTCCCATCCCTGCATCCCCGTTTGCAGCACATCCTGTACCGCCAGAAGGAGCAGTTCAGTGATGGTGTGGGTTACAGCTGGATCGACGGGCTGAAAGCGCACGCGGAGAACATGGTATCGGATCAGATGCTGGCGAATGCGGAGAACATGTTCCCCATCAACACGCCCAAGACCAAGGAGGCCTTTTTCTACCGCATGACCTTCGAGAAACACTTCCCCCAGGTATCACCTCCCTCCCCAGGTAACACCTCCCCAGGTAACACCTCCCCCAGGCGATTCGTTCCTTCAGGTACCACTCCTATCAGGTAACGCCCCAGATAACACCTCCCTCCGGTAACATCTGTTCTCTGGTTGTCGAGAATGGCATTGTGTTGCTGCGAGTGTTTATATTCGATCAATTGAGACTCCACTCAGCCACACACCTTTCTCCCTTCCTCTCACTCCTGCCCCTGTTTGTCCCTCCCTCCATACCATCTGCTCAGCTGTGTGCTGGCCTGACGGTGCCATGGGATGCCAGTGTCACCTGCAGCACATTGTCCCCCATTGTGCTCCAATCGCCTGCAGTCAATTGGAGCACAGCACATTGTCCCCCATCCCTTTCTTTCTCTCACTCACACTTGTTTGTCCTCTCCCTTCCCGCCCTCCCACCTGCCGCCACCTCAGCTGTGTGCTCGCCTGACGGTGCCGTGGGGTGCCAGTGTGGCCTGCAGCACGGCTGCTGCAGTCAAGTGGGATGCGGCCTGGGCCAACAACCTCAACCCTTCTTCCTGCATCTCTCGTTCATCCTTGCTCCCCCCCCCCCCCCCACTCCCCCCTCTACCTTTCTGATCCTCTCAGCTGTGTGCTCGCCTGACGGTGCCGTGGGGTGCCAGTGTGGCCTGCAGCACGGCTGCTGCAGTCAAGTGGGATGCGGCCTGGGCCAACAACCTCGACCCTTCCGGCAGGGCTGCTCTGGGCGTGCACAATGCCTCGTATGAGGGCAAGGATGGGGACAAGGGGAAGAAGGAAGCTGAGGGAGTAAAGGCGGATGGGAAGGAGAATGGGAAGGAGAATGGGGATGCTAAGGAGGAGGAGCCGGCTGCTAAGAAGGCCAAGACTGATGCTTAAGGAACTTGTTGCTATGGGTGGTTGCTGGTGTGTTGGATATTGTGTAAGGCTTTTGGGTTGCTAGCTAATTGAACACATGGTGCTGCAAGTATAATTATAAGCTTATCTATAGGTGTTGAGTTTGGGTAATTATATGATTTGAATGTTTGAAATGCTCTAGAATGCTGCCAGAGATTGAGTTTGAGAAGTAGAGGTATATGGTGTCACTATGCTTGGTAAAGTGTAATTTTCTATATACTTGGTATCGTTAAATATCGTGACGGTCTTGGTAACCACTGACAGCAGTGGGCTGATTCGGAAATTCGTTTTCGTGGAGGAAAGCCAGATTTCGCGCGTTTCAGATGGATCAACGTCATCTTTGCGAAGACATTCCGCTCAGCACCTCATGCGCGGCGCCATGGGGAATTTCGCCCAATAGGAAATTCCAAGTTCGCCATTTCCGCGAGCACCTGGCTTGCTTTGTGGCGTCACTGCGCAAAAAAAAATATGTTGCGCCACGAGCAAAGCGGGACTGCTGCTGTGAACGATGTGTTTTGCGCGGCGTCTGTGCCGCACCCCTCAACTTGACTCGACACGAAAGCTTTCGCCCCACGCCCCCTCACCCCACCATCGGCGAGACTGCGAAAGTGCTCGTGGTTGGGTTGGTTTGAGTTGGGTGTGTGTGTGACTTTCGGTGGTGTGTGTGTGCGAGGTGACTGCTTGGTTGAAGACAGCTCCACTCCTACAGAAAGGAATGTGTACAGCAGAGCCGTCAGCAGAAGAGTCCGGTACTACTACGTCCTGTTCGAAGAGTAAGGTGGCATGGTGCGGCGGTGGTGGTGGTGTGAGCGAAGCAATGGGTGCTGTGGATGCTGAGCGAATCAGGACTTGTGTCTGTACAGTACTACCGACACATGCACCCCTCGCTCACCGCTCTCCCTTCTCACTCCCTTGCGATGCCAGCCTTCGAATCAGCTGAGCACCTAGTTCCTGGTATCTTCTCTGAAACATCGTAACCAGACACCCTCGCTTGAAAGTTTAGAGTCTAGCGGCCCTCCCCCTCGCGATCTTTAAAAATCTTGCCGAAATAGGAGAAGCTTCATTAGTATTTCAAAATCATTTCGTGATTTGCTAGTCCTGATATTTTCCAGCATATCCTTAGAGAGGCCCTCATTTGCAGCTAAATCGCTCTATACTATCCTTTCAGTGCAATTTGTGATTGAAACGTGACCGTGATGCCATCCGCGTCCGCCATGTCCGGAAATTCCTCCTCGTCTGTTCAGCCGATTTATGTAGCGACTGTGAAAAATCCACTTGAAGGATCCTCGGAGGAATGCGACATAGCATTAATTTCGCACGGCGACCAAGCGACGCTACAGGGCGATCGTGCGACGCCGCATGCGACGCCGCAAATACCTCCCACATGCAACGCTACCGCACATTCCCCGCAAGACGGGCCGTACACCGCACCGTTAGCTCGTCATCTCGCGCGGGGCGCTGCCACTACAGCCGTAGCCCTCGTTCTGCTCGTCGCTCTCCTTGCCACGTGTCATGCTGTGGGAGGCGAGTCTTACCACTACTATCCGCTCCGTCCCGCGTCGCCCAGCCTCTCGCGGAGATCGCTAGCAGCAGCAGGGGGCGGTGTCGCGTCTGGTTCGGGCGGGAAGCTAACTCCGGGTTTTGTGGCGAATATCACGGCGGGAGTGAAGGTGGTGGTATCAAGGGTGTACGCAATAAAGAAGGGCAGCGGCAAAACGAAGATGACGGATTCCTGCGCCAATGACTGCCTGTCTCTGGTGCGTTCCGTCCGCCAGGTGCAAGCACTTTCCGAAATGAGTCATTTCAATGTTTAAGTGCGCTGGACTGGATTCTCAAGCGCGCACAAACCCAAGAGACGTGCTCCCCTCCTCATCATGATCCTCCAGCCCTCCTCGTCGCCCCCTCTGCGCCGCCACCCATCTCCTCAGATGACCACGGCGTTGGATCATCTAGCTCGCGTGTCCAAGGCGCTCATGGCGCCTTGACCCCTCCTCATCGCGCCATGAGCGCCATGAGTGTCCAAGGCGCTCATGGCGCGAAACAGCGCAACGGACGTGCTGACCTTCCCTATCCCCCCTTCCTTCTCCCCCCTTTTCCCCCATCTCCTCCCTCCTCCCCTCCCCCCCCCCTTCAGATGGCCACCGCGTTGGATCAACTAACCCGCGTGTCTAAGGCGCTCAAGACGCGTAGCAGCGCGAGCGACGTGCCGTACTGGCTGACAGCGGCGCAGGACCAGGTCACCACGTGCCTGGACGGGTTCAGAGAGTTTTCGCCGTCTACTCTTGCCACTCCAGCCGGAAAGTCGCTGCAGGTGAGGCACAATGCTCTCAGGGTGACAGTAATGGCAGCAGCGTGCAAGTCTGGCTGACAGCAGCGCAGGACCAGGTCACCACGTGCCTGGACGGGTTCAGAGAGTTTTCGCCGTCTACTCTCACTACGCCAGCTGGAAAGTCGCTCCAGGTGAGGTACAACGCACTCCATGTGTGCAGCAGCGTGCTGGTGACTATAGGTCGACTCAGAAGTCACCTAAAGTCGCTCCAGGTGAGGTACAATGCACTCCATGTGTGCAGCAGCGTACTGGTGACTATAGGTCGACTCAGAAGTCACCTAAAGTCGCTCCAGGTCAGGTGTGCAGCAGCGTGCTGGTCTGGCTGACAGCGACGCAGGACCAGGTACCCACGTGTCTGGACCGGTTCAAAGAGTTCTCCCCATCGACGCTCGCCACACCCGTCGAAGAATCTCTCCAGGTGAGGCTCAAGGCGTGCGACAATGGCAGCAGCGTGCTGGCCTGGCTGACAGAGGCGCAGCACCACCAGGTGACCACGTGCCTGGACTGGACGGCTTTCAAGAGTTCTCCCCGTCAACGCTCGCCACACCCGCGGGATAGTCTCTTCAGGTGCGACTCGATTCCCTCAGAGCATGCGGTGCAGGTCTGGCTGACAGCGCGCAGGACCAGGTGACCACGTGCCTGGACAGGGTTCAGGAAGTTATCTCCTGGCACTCTCAGCGCACTAGCCGGAATTTTTGCTCCAGGTGAGACTCGACGCGTTCAGCAAGTGCAGAGAGACATGCGGATTTGGCTGACAGCGGCACAGAACCAGGTCACCAGAGACCCTGGACGGGTTTCGAGAGTTCTCCATATAGACGCTCTGCTCTGCTAGTATTCAGTTCCCTTAACGCACCCCCTTTGTGCTTCCTTGCTTACCCTCTTCCCCATACCAGGCACATGGCAGACAAGTCAAGAAATCTCTCGACAAAGCAATCAAATTGTCGCTTCACTCTGCATGACTACCAGAGCAACCTATGCACAAATAGTGGCCTACATGTTTAATGTTAATATATTATTGATTGGATTCTATGAAAGTGGCCTATGAAAGGGAATTTTACACAGGAGCATATCATTATGTTAAAAAAAGCATCGTCTCGTCTCCTTTTTCCGGGTCTTTCCATTTCATATTGAACGGCAAAAGCTTGGTGAGTGCTGTTTTATTGATGTAGAGATCGATTGCAATTTGCAATCAACTATACATACATTCGTAATTCAGGAATTAGCACCATCATGTAACTAATCCTTTGGACGTGAGACAACGAACGCGGCGCATAATCCAAGAAACTTCGCTGACATGCGCGGTCCGATTTCGACCCAAATTCCCCCGAGATTTTGGAGAGGGGAGCACTTCGAAGCACACTGGAGAGACTCTCGCCTGCACATTCACCGCCTCCACTGGACGTGACTTTGGTACCAACCAAACCGCTCGAGAATAGAATGTCTCTTGAAGCGTGTTGGGTGGGAATGAAGCATGCCTACGACGCACTGGGTCACGACTCACACCCGCAAGCAACATCCATTTACGTGAATTTTCACTGAGGCTTCTGGTTTAGACTCCGAGCTCGTCCTCTCTTCCCGGTTGAGAACGTCCGTACAAGAGCACCATAAGTCGAACTGATAAAAAGCCACGTATGGGTGAGTTCCTATATGCATTTTTCTACTAGCCTTTTCCGTTCTGAATTACCTCTCCGTCTACTGGTGAATCTTCAGTCCGCCGCGGGCTTGGTTTATCGATTTTACCAGCAACGCCGGCGCCTCCTTCTTAGCTGCAAGCCATGGCGCTGGTTTCGCCGTGGACCGGCAGGCTTGCTTGGCGATCCGCGGGATTCGTCCTGGCTTTAATCGCCGTCCTTGCCACGTGTCACGCCGTCGACAACTACTACATCTTGCGCCGCCCCGAGTTTTGCGCCGATACGCCCGATCCGCGCTATTGCGTGGAGCAGCTCCGCGACGTGCGGCGGAAGCTCGGCGCGCTTCCCGCTCCGACGAGTGAGCTTGCGCCAGGACTCGTCGCGAACATCACGGCGGGAATACAGGGAGTTTTGACGAAAGTATCCTCGATTAAGAAGAGCCGCGGTACAGCGAATATGTCGGGCGCGGTGACAACCGACTGCCTGGATCTGGTATTAAACTCACATTCCTGTCTCTGGTGTGCCCCAATCGTATCGCACGTGTCTCTCGGCGTGTATAACTCTGAGTCTGTTTTTACCAAGCTCTGAGCAGCTCAACCCCACTCACTCCCTTCTCTGCCGCCCCTAGGTCGATTCTAACTCATCTACCTCCCTTCCTCCCTCCGTCTACTCGTTTCCGCCTCGTTTCCTCAAACTGTCTGCCCGTCTGTCCGATGTTTGAGCAGTTACACCAGTCCTTTTCCACCCCCTCTAACGTCCTTTTCGCAGACCGCCAACGCCTTGTATCATCTCGCCAAGGCCGCCGCGGCGCTCAAAGCGCGCACCGACGACGAGGACGTGCCGTTCTGGATCACGGCGGCTCGCGACCAGCTCGTCACGTGTCTCGACGGCATCTGGGAATTTTCTCTTGACACGTACAAGTCGCACGCGGGAAAATCGCTAACAGCCCTCGGCAAGAATCTCAAGAAGTCGTTCGACACTGCCATAGCTCTCGCGCTCCACTCGCAAAATCTCCCCCCACGCCGCGAGACTCTAGAACACGGCGGTCCGGGGGAGCCGCCTTCGTGGGTGGAGCCGGCGATGTACGAGCGCATCAGGGAGCTTCAGGCGCGGATGCAGGGGGATCACGCGGAGGCGCAAGCGTGGGCGGAGCGCGGGCGGAAGCTTCAGCTGGCGAAAGTCAAGAAGCTAAAGCCGAACGCGGTGGTGGGGAAGAACGAGAAGTACAAGAAAATATCGGACGCGTTAAAAGCAGCTCCGAAAACGGGGTTGTACGAGGTGTACATCAAGGCGGGGACGTATAAGGAGAAGGTTTTGGTGAACCGTGAGGGCGTGGTTCTGGTGGGAGACGGCGCAACGAAGACGATTATAACGGGGAAGGACAGCGTGGCAGGCGGATTCACCACATACAACACGGCGACAGTCAGTGAGTTATTCAACCAACTAGTGCTACCAACTTGTTGAACAATTTACTTGTGTCTTTGTACAGCCTAACCCTGTAAACCCGCCTTCTCCGCTCCCTTTTCACATGTGAATTCCCTCGTGCTTACTCTTCATGTCGTGTCTTCATTAGTCTGTTGACGTATTCCCATTCCTGTCCCAAAACCCCTGACACCGAGATTCCTCATTTCCTGCCGTTGCCACTAACAGGTGCTATTTCCAGGCAGCGGGGATAAAGTTCGAGAACACTGCAGGAATTCAGGGCAACCAAGCCGTGGCGCTGATGATAGACGCGGATAAGGCGGTCGTTTATGACTGCTCCGTTACAGGTTACCAGGACACTCTCTACACCCACTCTGGCCGCCAGTACTACCGAAACTGCTTCATCTCTGGTATCACGGATTTTATTTTCGGAAACGCCGCTGCGGTCATTGACAACTGTACGATTGAGATGCGCGCGGGGAAATCGAACATCCCCATTACCGCGTCAGGAAGGGAGACCGAAACGCCTACGGGGATCGTGATTCGCTTCTCGTTTGTAACAGCGGAGAAGGGTGTTACAAATAACAGTGGCTACTTGGGTCGCCCTTGGAAGAAATGCGCGCGTACAGTCTACATCAACACATTCCTTGCACAGGTAAGCCAGCTTAATAATCGGGAAAAAACAGTATACATAAATTTCTGTTCCCTCCAATTCCCATTCTCGCTGAGCACACGATGGGCAAAGCCTTTTCATTGCGTAATTTTCAGCACCGCAGAGCAAGTGCTGACCCGTTTCACCCTCTTGCTGTTCCTTCTCCTTATTCCCCCACCCCCCCCTTTCACACCCCTCCCCGTCCCTCCTCTCTCCAACTTTAGCAAATCAACAAGGAGGGATGGAGCACGTGGAATGGCGACAACAAGGGCAAGTGCGTCTACTATGCTGAGAAGGACAGCGAGGGGCCGGGAGCGTACAAGCCGCGGGCAAAATGGGTAAAGCCGGGGCAGATCCGCGATGGGAAACCATGGGGCCCTGAGCCATTCATTCAGCTTAGCGAATGGTACGACACGAAGAAAGGAGTCATTCGGTATCCTCCTAAGTAATAAGCAGTGGGGAGCGAGGTGAATGGGGGGGGGGGGGGGGAATACAAGCTGCGGGCTAAATGGGTGGAACCGGGCCAGATCCGAGATGGAACGCCATGGGCCATGAGCCTTTCATTCAGCTCAGCAAATGGTAGGACAGCGAGAAAGGGGTGATTTGGTACCCGCAGGAAGGGGGGGAGCGAAGGGAATGGTGAGCTAAGGGAATGGTGAAGTGCGGCCGGGGCAGATGAGCAAGGGTCACTTTGTGTTATTCTGACGGCAAGATGGCAAATAGCCATGGGCCATCATAAGGAGGCTTTTGCTTGGTTGGGAAGTGGCAGCAGGAGCAAAGGGCGCATTACATGCTCCCAGTACAGAATACAGTATGAAGTGCCCAAAAGGTGGAAGGTGAAAGGAGAGTAGTTGCGAATAAGGGGAGTCCCGTTACAGAAATGGGTGCATTTTTCATGCTTGTATATGTGAGCGTACCTTACAAGCTCTAATATTTGCCACCCTAGACAAACTTAACTGCATGCAACCTCAGTCTCACACCTGACCGATTCAGTTCGTGCTCCGTGCCCCTGGATGGTACACGTGCGACGAGAAGTTAGTGGACAGCAATTGAGTTGCCTATTCTCTCTCCATGACTGTTGGAGCAAGCTACAAATGCTTTTGACCAAATCCTGAATGTTTCAAGTTTAACAGAAGCCTATCAACATGTAGACGGAAAGGCGAAGCTTGTTCAAGCTTGATATATTCATTTACAATCACTTTCTGACGCGGTACGATGAACGCGGCGCAGAACCCTATTTTTTGCAAATGCGCGGCTCGATTCGGGTAAGGAACGCTTCGAAGAACAAATGTAGAGACTCCGTCCTGCGCGTTCGCTGACGTTCGCTAGACGTGAATTCAGCACCACCAAGCCGCTGGAGCGAAAATGATTCTCGAACATTCCCCTCCCCACTGCTGTGCTTGTATGCTGTACTGGGACGAAAACTATCATCGAGCATGCTGCTGTGCTTTTACACATGCTGTGGCGGCACCTGAGCAACGGCCCGAGCCGCTAGCTACAGTACATCCACTTATGTGCACATGAACTATCACTGAGGCTTCAGGTTTTCACCTCGCGGACGACTTCTCATTCCCGTTGAGAAAGTTCATACGAGAGGACCATAAGGGGAACCGTTAAATAGCCACCGATGGACGAGTTCCTGCGTCAGTTGTGTTACCAGCTGGTGCCTTATCCGTTCGGGCATTACCTCCGTGTACTGGTGAATTTTAGTCCACCTTGGATTTCAACGATTATCGGCAACGGCGACGCCTCCGTCTTAGCTGCAAGCCATGGCGCTGGTTTCGCCGTGGACCGGCAGGCTTTCTTGGGGCGCTGCGGCCTTCGTCGTGGCTATAACTACCGTGCTTGCCACGTGTCACGCCGTCGACAACCCCGCCTTTTGAGACGAAACGTCTGACCCGAGCTACTGCGTGGAGCAGCTCCGCGATGTGCGGCGGAAGCTCGGCGCGCTTACCGCTCCGACGAGTGAGCTTGCTCCAGGACTCGTCGCAAACATCACGGCGGGAATGCAGCGGGTGATGGCGAGAGTTTCGTTGATAAAGAAGAGCCGCAGCATAGCGAATATGTCGGGTCCCGTGACAACGGACTGTCTCGATCTGGTACTATGTTCACCTCTCCACATCATCCTTCAACAACCCTTTTCGCACGTTACACTCTTTTGCTGAGCTGCGAATCCTACTTCTTCCTTCGCCATCCCCGTAACGTCGTTTCCTGAGCTCGACGAGGTCCAAAGACTCACGACCAAATCTCTTTCCCTCTCTCACCCGGCCCGATGGGAGATCCGTCCTCTCCCCTCCCCCCCACCCTCATTCCGTCAATTACGTCCTTTTCGCAGACCGCCAACGCCTTGTATCATCTCGCCAAGGCCGCCGCGGCGCTCAAAGCGCGCACCGACGACGAGGACGGGCCGTTCTGGATCACGGCAGCTCGGGACCAGCTCGTCACGTGCCTCGAAGGCATCTGGGAGTTCTCCCCCGACACGTACAAGTCGCACGCGGGAAAATCGCTGACAAATTACGGCAATAATCTCAAAAAATCGTACGACACCGCCATCGCCCTCGCACTCCAATCCGCCTCATCCGCGGGGAAGGCTCCCCCGCGCCGAAAGGCCCTAGACTCTTCGGAAGACGCCGGTCGGGGGGAGCCGCCTTCGTGGGTGGAGGCGGGGATGTACGAGCGGATCAGGGAGCTTCAGGCGCGGATGCAGGAAGATCACGCGGAGGCGGGGATGTGGGCGGAGCGCGGGCGGAAGCTTCAGCTGGCGAAAGTCAAGAAGCTAAAGCCGAACGCGGTGGTGGGGAAGAACGAGAAGTACAAAAAGATTTCGGACGCGTTAAAAGCAGCTCCGAAAACGGGGCTGTACGTGGTGTACATCAAGGCGGGAACGTACAAGGAGAACGTTTTGGTGAACCGGCAGGGCGTGGTTCTGGTGGGAGACGGCGCGTCGAAGACAATTATAACGGCGAAGAGAAGTGTCGCTGGCGGATATACCACATACAACACTGCCACAGTCAGTGAGTGCTAACACTGCTACTAATTTCAGCTCTGTTACCACACCTTTACCTTCCCCTTGGATAGTCGTTTGGTTGCACGTTCCTCTGAAATGCTGCTCACTCTTTCGTGCTCCATTTGATCGTTGCCCTCCATCTGAAAGGCTGTTGCTACTCCGAGTTCGCGGTACTGTAACATTGTTGGATCATCTACCTCTGACCAGTTCACTTCAGCAAATATTATCCAATTGCCAAACCCCTGTCATTCCATTCCCTCTCTTGCGTTGACCCTCAACTTCAGGTGTGAAAAAAAACTCTTTCCAGGCAGCGGGGATAAAGTTTGAAAACACTGCAGGAATTCAGGGCAATCAGGCCGTGGCGCTGATGATTGATGCGGATAAGGCAGTCGTTTATGACTGCTCCGTTACTGGTTTCCAGGACACTCTCTACACCCACTCTGGCCGCCAGTACTACAGAAACACCTTCATCTCTGGTTGCACTGATTTTATTTTCGGAAATGCTGCTGCGGTTATTGACAACTGTACGATTGAGATGCGCGCGGGAAAAAAAAATATTCCAATCACCGCGTCAGGAAGGGAGAGCAACACGCCTACGGGGATTGTGATTCGATACGCGACTGTTAAAGAGGAAAAGGGTGTTACAAATGGTTACTTGGGTCGGCCTTGGAAGAAATGCGCGCGTACAATTCTATATTGAGTCCACCCTTCCCAAGGTGAGCCAGATTATTTGCAGCGTGAGATTATGATTTGCATCTATGCGTCGCATGATTTTAGGTGGCAGAGTTCCACTCCGCCCGCCTTTCTGCTTAACCATTACTTCCTTCATTACTAACATACCACACCTCAACTTCTCTGCACTTCTGAGCTCATTCAACCTATTGCCTTTGGTCACACCTCTCCGCACCCATCCTCACCGCTCATCCCTCTCCCCTTTTCTCAACAGCAGGAAATCAACATGGAGGGGTGGAGCTCGTGGAACGGCGACAACAAGGGAAAGTGCGTCTACTATGCTGAGAAGGGCAGCAAGGGACCGGGAGCGTACAAGCCAAAGAACTCACGTGCCTGTCGTCCCCCACACCTCTCCTCACCGTGTCTCACCCTTCTTCACCCCTCCTCACCTTTTTGCACCCATCCTCGCCCCTCTTCTCAATAACAGGAGATCAACAAGGAGGGGTGGAGCACGTGGAACGGCGACAACAAGGGAAAGTGCGTCTACTATGGTGAGAAGGGCAGCAAGGGACCGGGAGCGTACAAGCCGCGGGCCAAATGGGTGAAGCCGGGGGAGATCAAGGACGGCAAGCCGTGGGCCCCAGAACCGTTTATTCAGCTCAGCAAGTGGTATGATGAGAAGAAGGGAGTCATTCGGTACCCGTAGGAACCAGCAGAGGAAAGCGTGGGGGAGGAGGGGCGGATATCACAAGCCCAGGGATGATTGGCTGACTGGCTAAAAAGGGTGAAGCCGGGGCAGATCAAAGACGGCAAGCCGTTGGCCCTTGAGCCGTTCATTCAGCTCAGCAAGTGGTGCGGTACGGCGAGAAGAAAGGAGTCATTTGTTACCTTTAGGAGGATGGAAAGGCGTTGAGGAGAGAATGGCTGACTATCCAGGGCAGATCAGGGACGGGAGGTTATGGCATATGCTCTTCCCTGAGCGTTTCTTTCAGCCCAGCATTTGATGCAAGAAGATGAAGAACTGGGTAATCCGGGGCTAGGCACTGCTGGGTTAGGTTAGAGGGAGTTCTATATGAAGGAAGTTTCGTTTCTGGATTACGGTAGGTATCTGCTTTGATTTTTATGGGTGGAGTCAGATTGTGTGTGGGTTTGCCTTATTGGAGCGTATTCCTATCCTCGTATCAAGAGAACCTCATATCCGGATTGTACTTTTTGCCTGGCAAAACTAGCGAGAGTTTTTGGGTTTAAGAGAATTTTCAGTGGGAGGTTGATATGAGGTTCTCTTGATACGAGGATAGGAATAGCCTTATTACAGTACCAAAAGTCAGGTGTATGTCGATTGCAGCGATAGGCACAAATTAAGCACGCAGCCAGAGAAAAAGCACTTTGCTTGAACAACAGGCAGTGCAAAGCAAGGCAAGCGGCACCAATTGTAGAGCGATACGGTAGGCCAAGTGTCTGTCCCTTTTCCCTGAACAACACGACTGTACACTGTAGCAATCATGTGCTCATAAATATAAGGTATGACCGTTATGTGCTATTTCTTGAGCGAGATGAGGCCAGATATGGGAGGAGGGGGGACGTTGTTGCTGATGTCTACCTGCCTCACCTCCCCAGGCTGAAAGTACAAGTCGCTGTGACTGAATGGGGGAGGGGGGGGAGTAAGAAGTGGGGGGGGGGGGGCGGGGAGAGTTGTTTCCTGTAACTGGAGGGCGTGGAGGAGAGGGGGGAGAGGTGAAGGAACAAAAGGCGATGGAAAATGCGGGATGGGGGGAGGAGAGCAGGGGAAGAAGCCGGGGGAGGGGAACGGTGGGGAGTTGTTGCTGATTCAACCTGCCTCACCTCCTCACCAGGTTAGAAGTACAGTCGCTGTTACTGGAGTATGGATGGAGAGGATCGGATGACTGCCAGCAGCAACTCGTCCCACATCCCTCCCTTCCCCCAATTCACCCACCTTCTGATATCTTTGCCGATTAAAGCAGACTGCAGCACGGAGAGACAGTCGGAGTCTGGCGATACTATCACCACTGCCTCCCGCGAGTACAGCGTCTCGAAAATGGACATGAGCTGCTGCCAGCAGCCTGGTATTTCCAGATTCACGTACCTTGTGATATCTTTGCCGATAAGGGCAGATTGCAGGACTGACAGGCAGTCGGAGTCCGGAGACACGATCACCACTGCCTCTCGCGAGTACTGCATCTCGAGGATGGACATGAGCTGCGTCACCCTCATGAGCACGTCTGCTAGTACCTCCAGAATAACGCACCTTCTGAGATCCTTCCCAATCAGAGCAGACTGCAGCACGGAGAGACAATCAGAGTCCGGTGACACGATCACCACCGCATCTCGTGAGTATTGTGTTTCAAGGATCGACATGAGCTGCGTCACCCTCACGAGCACATCCGCCACGCTCTCATGGGGGGTGCCGTCAGTGAAGGGGGGCGGTCGCCACCTGGACGACACAGAGTCTTCTAGGTAGATCTGGGGAGAAGAGTACGGGCACAAAAGTGAGCCGGGCACAAAACGGATGGACATGAGCTGCGTCACCCGCACGAGCACATCTGCCACGCTCTCATGCGGGGTGCCGTCAGTGAAGGGGGGCGGTCGCCACCTGGACGACACAGAGTCCTCCAACTAGATCTGGGGATGAGCGCACACGTACGAAAAGTGGGGGGAGGGGGGCATGAGATGGCATAGGTAAGGGGGAGGGCGGGGGGAAAGCTGCATCACCCGCACGAGCACATCTGCCACGCTCTCATGGGGGTTGCCGTCAGTGAAGGGGGGCGGGCGCCACCGGGAGGAAACCGAGTCCTCTAGGTAAACTTGGGGCGGAGAGAGCAGGAGCACGAAAAGGGAGGAGGCATGGGGTGGGGTGGCACAGTACAGGGGGAGGGTGGGTGGGGGGCCTGCGTCACCCGCACGAGCACATCTGCCACGCTCTCATCGAAGTGCCGTCCGTGAAGGGCGACGACTTATGAGGTGCCTCAAAAGTCACCCGCACGAGCACATCTGCCACGCTCTCACAGGCTCTCATAGGCTCTCACAGGCTCTCACAGGCTCTCACAGGCTCTCACAGGCTCTCACAGGCTCTCACAGGCTCTCATAGGCTCTCACAGGCTCTCATAGGCTCTCACAGGCTCTCACAGGCTCTCATAGGCTCTCACAGGCTCTCACAGGCTCTCATAGGCTCTCATAGGCTCTCACAGGCTCTCACAGGCTCTCATAGGCTCTCATAGGCTCTCACGGGCGGTGCCGTCAGTGAAGGGTGGCGGTCGCCACCTGGAAGACACAGAGTTTTCTAGGTAAACCTGCAGAGGAGAGCACGTGCACGGCATGGGGTGGCACAGCACAGGGGCGAGCGGGTGGGGGGCCTGCGCCACTCTTACGAGCGCATCTGCCACGCTCTCATAGAAGTGCTGTCAGTGAAGGGCCGCGGGCGTCACCGCGAGGACACAGAGTCAACCTGAACCGGGCACCAGAGGACCGGTTGCCTGGCCATTCGACTTAGAGGAGAATAGGGCGAGTTAGGACCGTTGGATCCGAGTCGAAACTATCCTTTTATGCCTGGCCATTCGGGCAACCTGTCCTCCAAGACAACTTGAATGAGGGGGCCGGGGCGGGGAACTGACAAATGTGATCCTACATCTCATTTATATAGTGAAACTTACTTATATCAAGCATCTAAGAGGTGGTTCCTCCCCTAACCTCATATATCCCTATCTCCCTCTCCCCCCTCTCCCCTCTCCCGTCTCCCCTCTCCCCTCTCCCCTCTCCCCTCTCCCCTCTCCCCTCTCCCCTCTTCCCCCCTCTCCCCTCTCCCCTCTCCCCTCTCCCCCCTCCCCCCTCCCCCCTCCCCCATCCCCCCTCCCCCCTCCCCCCTCCCCCCTCCCCCCTCCCCCCTCCCCCCCTCCCCCCTCCCCCCTCTCCCCCCTCCCCCCTCCCCCCTCCCCCCTCCCCCCTCCCCCCTCCCCCCTCCCCCCTCCCCCCTCCCCCCTCCCCCCTCCCCCCTCCCCCCTCCCCCCTCCCCCCTCCCCCCTCCCCCCTCCCCCCTCCCCCCTCCCCCCTCCCCCCTCCCCCCTCCCCCTCCCCCCTCCCCCCTCCCCCTCCCCCCTCCCCCCTCCCCCCTCCCCCCTCCCCCCTCCCCCCTCTCCCCTCTCCCCTCTCCCCTCTCCCCTCTCCCTCTCCCCCCTCCCCCCTCCCCCCTCTCCCCTCTCCCCTCTCCCCTCTCCCCTCTCCCCCCTCCCCCCTCCCCCCTCCCCCCTCCCCCCTCTCCCCTCTCCCCTCTCCCCTCTCCCCTCTCCCCTCTCCCCTCTCCCCTCTACCCCTCTCCCCTCTCCCCTCTCCCCTCTCCCCCCTCCCCCCTCCCCCCTCTCCCCTCTCCCCCCTCCCCCCTCCCCCCTCCCCCCTCCCCCCTCTCCCCTCTCCCTTCTCCCCTCTCCCCTCTCCCCTCTCCCCTCTCCCCTCTCCCCTCTCCCCTCTCCCCTCTCCCCTCTCCCCTCTCCCCTCTCCCTCTCCCCCCTCCCCCCTCTCCCCCTCTCCCCTCTCCCCTCTCCCCTCTCCCCTCTCCCCTCTCCCCTCTCCCCTCTCCCCTCTCCCCTCTCCCCTCTCCCCTCTCCCCTCTCCCCTCTCCCCTCTCCCCTCTCCCCTCTCCCCTCTCCCCTCTTCCCTCTCCCCTCTCCCCTCTCCCCTCTTCCCTCTTCCCTCCCCCTTCCTCCTTTTCCTCCTCAATCCTCCTCCCCCTCCAGCCCTCTCTGTTCAAACCCCTATCCCCGCCAACCCACCTCGCTCATCATCTCAAGCGGCTGTCCTTCAAACGCCCCCAGTCCCCTGGCGTCCAGAAAGCTGTACTCTGGCACGATGCGGCTGGTGGGGAGGGAGGGGCGAGGGGGGGATGTTAGCAGAAGGGGGGGAGAAGAGGAGGTCTAGGGATTTAGGGACACGATGCTCCCAGTCCCCTGGCGTCCAGAAAGCTGTACTCTGGCATGATGCGGCTGGTGGGGAGGGAGGGGCGAGGGGGGGATGTTAGCAGAAGGGGGGGAGAAGAGGAGGTCTAGGGATTTAGGGACACGATGCCCCCAGTCCCCTGGCGTCCAGAAAGCTGTACTCTGGCACGATGCGGCTGGTGGGGAGGGAGGGGCGAGGGGGGGATGTTAGCAGAAGGGGGGGAGAAGAGGAGGTCTAGGGATTTAGGGACACGATGCCCCCAGTCCCCTGGCGTCCAGAAAGCTGTACTCTGGCACGATGCGGCTGGTGGGGAGGGAGGGGCGAGGGGGGGATGTTAGCAGAAGGGGGGGAGAAGAGGAGGTCTAGGGATTTAGGGACACGATGCTCCCAGTCCCCTGGCGTCCAGAAAGCTGTACTCTGGCATGATGCGGCTGGTGGGGAGGGAGGGGCGAGGGGGGGATGTTAGCAGAAGGGGGGGAGAAGAGGAGGTCTAGGGATTTAGGGACACGATGCCCCCAGTCCCCTGGCGTCCAGAAAGCTGTACTCTGGCACGATGCGGCTGGTGGGGAGGGAGGGGCGAGGGGGGGATGTTAGCAGAAGGGGGGGAGAAGAGGAGGTCTAGGGATTTAGGGACACGATGCCCCCAGTCCCCTGGCGTCCAGAAAGCTGTACTCTGGCACGATGCGGCTGGTGGGGAGGGAGGGGCGAGGGGGGGATGTTAGCAGAAGGGGGGGAGAAGAGGAGGTCTAGGGATTTAGGGACACGATGCCCCCAGTCCCCTGGCGTCCAGAAAGCTGTACTCTGGCACGATGCGGCTGGTGGGGAGGGAGGGGCGAGGGGGGGATGTTAGCAGAAGGGGGGGAGAAGAGGAGGTCTAGGGATTTAGGGACACGATGCCCCCAGTCCCCTGGCGTCCAGAAAGCTGTACTCTGGCACGATGCGGCTGGTGGGGAGGGAGGGGCGAGGGGGGGATGTTAGCAGAAGGGGGGGAGAAGAGGAGGTCTAGGGATTTAGGGACACGATGCTCCCAGTCCCCTGGCGTCCAGAAAGCTGTACTCTGGCATGATGCGGCTGGTGGGGAGGGAGGGGCGAGGGGGGGATGTTAGCAGAAGGGGGGGAGAAGAGGAGGTCTAGGGATTTAGGGACACGATGCCCCCAGTCCCCTGGCGTCCAGAAAGCTGTACTCTGGCACGATGCGGCTGGTGGGGAGGGAGGGGCGAGGGGGGGATGTTAGCAGAAGGGGGGGAGAAGAGGAGGTCTAGGGATTTAGGGACACGATGCCCCCAGTCCCCTGGCGTCCAGAAAGCTGTACTCTGGCACGATGCGGCTGGTGGGGAGGGAGGGGCGAGGGGGGGATGTTAGCAGAAGGGGGGGAGAAGAGGAGGTCTAGGGATTTAGGGACACGATGCCCCCAGTCCCCTGGCGTCCAGAAAGCTGTACTCTGGCACGATGCGGCTGGTGGGGAGGGAGGGGCGAGGGGGGGATGTTAGCAGAAGGGGGGGAGAAGAGGAGGTCTAGGGATTTAGGGACACGATGCCCCCAGTCCCCTGGCGTCCAGAAAGCTGTACTCTGGCACGATGCGGCTGGTGGGGAGAGAGGGGCGAGGGGGGGATGTTAGCAGAAGGGGGGGAGAAGAGGAGGTCTAGGGATTTAGGGACACGATGCCCCCAGTCCCCTGGCGTCCAGAAAGCTGTACTCTGGCACGATGCGGCTGGTGGGGAGGGAGGGGCGAGGGGGGGATGTTAGCAGAAGGGGGGGAGAAGAGGAGGTCTAGGGATTTAGGGACACGATGCCCCCAGTCCCCTGGCGTCCAGAAAGCTGTACTCTGGCACGATGCGGCTGGTGGGGAGGGAGGGGCGAGGGCGGGATGTTAGCAGAAGGGGGGAAGAAGAGGAGGTCTAGGGATTTAGGGACACGATGCCCCCAGTCCCCTGGCGTCCAGAAAGCTGTACTCTGGCACGATGCGGCTGGTGGGGAGGGAGGGGCGAGGGGGGGATGTTAGCAGAAGGGGGGGAGAAGAGGAGGTCTAGGGATTTAGGGACACGATGCCCCCAGTCCCCTGGCGTCCAGAAAGCTGTACTCTGGCACGATGCGGCTGGTGGGGAGGGAGGGGCGAGGGGGGGATGTTAGCAGAAGGGGGGGAGAAGAGGAGGTCTAGGGATTTAGGGACACGATGCCCCCAGTCCCCTGGCGTCCAGAAAGCTGTACTCTGGCACGATGCGGCTGGTGGGGAGGGAGGGGCGAGGGGGGGATGTTAGCAGAAGGGGGGGAGAAGAGGAGGTCTAGGGATTTAGGGACACGATGCCCCCAGTCCCCTGGCGTCCAGAAAGCTGTACTCTGGCACGATGCGGCTGGTGGGGAGGGAGGGGCGAGGGGGGGATGTTAGCAGAAGGGGGGGAGAAGAGGAGGTCTAGGGATTTAGGGACACGATGCCCCCAGTCCCCTGGCGTCCAGAAAGCTGTACTCTGGCACGATGCGGCTGGTGGGGAGGGAGGGGCGAGGGGGGGATGTTAGCAGAAGGGGGGGAGAAGAGGAGGTCTAGGGATTTAGGGACACGATGCCCCCAGTCCCCTGGCGTCCAGAAAGCTGTACTCTGGCACGATGCGGCTGGTGGGGAGGGAGGGGCGAGGGGGGGATGTTAGCAGAAGGGGGGGAGAAGAGGAGGTCTAGGGATTTCGGGACACGATGCCCAAAATCCCCTGGCGTCCAGAAAGCTGTACTCTGGCACGATGCGGTTGGTGGGGAGGGAGGGGCGAGGGGGGGATGTTAGCAGAAGGGGGGGAGAAGAGGAGGTCTAGGGATTTAGGGACACGATGCCCCCAGTCCCCTGGCGTCCAGAAAGCTGTACTCTGGCACGATGCGGCTGGTGGGGAGGGAGGGGCGAGGGGGGGATGTTAGCAGAAGGGGGGGAGAAGAGGAGGTCTAGGGATTTAGGGACACGATGCCCCCAGTCCCCTGGCGTCCAGAAAGCTGTACTCTGGCACGATGCGGCTGGTGGGGAGAGAGGGGCGAGGGGGGGATGTTAGCAGAAGGGGGGGAGAAGAGGAGGTCTAGGGATTTAGGGACACGATGCCCCCAGTCCCCTGGCGTCCAGAAAGCTGTACTCTGGCACGATGCGGCTGGTGGGGAGGGAGGGGCGAGGGGGGGATGTTAGCAGAAGGGGGGGAGAAGAGGAGGTCTAGGGATTTAGGGACACGATGCCCCCAGTCCCCTGGCGTCCAGAAAGCTGTACTCTGGCACGATGCGGCTGGTGGGGAGGGAGGGGCGAGGGCGGGATGTTAGCAGAAGGGGGGAAGAAGAGGAGGTCTAGGGATTTAGGGACACGATGCCCCCAGTCCCCTGGCGTCCAGAAAGCTGTACTCTGGCACGATGCGGCTGGTGGGGAGGGAGGGGCGAGGGGGGGATGTTAGCAGAAGGGGGGGAGAAGAGGAGGTCTAGGGATTTAGGGACACGATGCCCCCAGTCCCCTGGCGTCCAGAAAGCTGTACTCTGGCACGATGCGGCTGGTGGGGAGGGAGGGGCGAGGGGGGGATGTTAGCAGAAGGGGGGGAGAAGAGGAGGTCTAGGGATTTAGGGACACGATGCCCCCAGTCCCCTGGCGTCCAGAAAGCTGTACTCTGGCACGATGCGGCTGGTGGGGAGGGAGGGGCGAGGGGGGGATGTTAGCAGAAGGGGGGGAGAAGAGGAGGTCTAGGGATTTAGGGACACGATGCCCCCAGTCCCCTGGCGTCCAGAAAGCTGTACTCTGGCACGATGCGGCTGGTGGGGAGGGAGGGGCGAGGGGGGGATGTTAGCAGAAGGGGGGGAGAAGAGGAGGTCTAGGGATTTAGGGACACGATGCCCAAAATCCCCTGGCGTCCAGAAAGCTGTACTCTGGCACGATGCGGCTGGTGGGGAGGGAGGGGCGAGGGGGGGATGTTAGCAGAAGGGGGGGAGAAGAGGAGGTCTAGGGATTTAGGGACACGATGCCCCCAGTCCCCTGGCGTCCAGAAAGCTGTACTCTGGCACGATGCGGCTGGTGGGGAGGGAGGGGCGAGGGGGGGATGTTAGCAGAAGGGGGGGAGAAGAGGAGGTCTAGGGATTTAGGGACACGATGCCCAAAATCCCCTGGCGTCCAGAAAGCTGTACTCTGGCACGATGCGGCTGGTGGGGAGGGAGGGGCGAGGGGGGGATGTTAGCAGAAGGGGGGGAGAAGAGGAGGTCTAGGGATTTAGGGACACGATGCCCCCAGTCCCCTGGCGTCCAGAAAGCTGTACTCTGGCACGATGCGGCTGGTGGGGAGGGAGGGGCGAGGGGGGGATGTTAGCAGAAGGGGGGGAGAAGAGGAGGTCTAGGGATTTAGGGACACGATGCCCCCAGTCCCCTGGCGTCCAGAAAGCTGTACTCTGGCACGATGCGGCTGGTGGGGAGGGAGGGGCGAGGGGGGGATGTTAGCAGAAGGGGGGGAGAAGAGGAGGTCTAGGGATTTAGGGACACGATGCCCAAAATCCCCTGGCGTCCAGAAAGCTGTACTCTGGCACGATGCGGCTGGTGGGGAGGGAGGGGCGAGGGGGGGATGTTAGCAGAAGGGGGGGAGAAGAGGAGGTCTAGGGATTTAGGGACACAATGCTCCCAGTCCCCTGGCGTCCAGAAAGCTGTACTCTGGCATGATGCGGCTGGTGGGGAGGGAGGGGCGAGGGGGGGATGTTAGCAGAAGGGGGGGAGAAGAGGAGGTCTAGGGATTTAGGGACACGATGCCCCCAGTCCCCTGGCGTCCAGAAAGCTGTACTCTGGCACGATGCGGCTGGTGGGGAGGGAGGGGCGAGGGGGGGATGTTAGCAGAAGGGGGGGAGAAGAGGAGGTCTAGGGATTTAGGGACACGATGCCCCCAGTCCCCTGGCGTCCAGAAAGCTGTACTCTGGCACGATGCGGCTGGTGGGGAGGGAGGGGCGAGGGGGGGATGTTAGCAGAAGGGGGGGAGAAGAGGAGGTCTAGGGATTTAGGGACACGATGCCCCCAGTCCCCTGGCGTCCAGAAAGCTGTACTCTGGCACGATGCGGCTGGTGGGGAGGGAGGGGCGAGGGGGGGATGTTAGCAGAAGGGGGGGAGAAGAGGAGGTCTAGGGATTTAGGGACACGATGCCCCCAGTCCCCTGGCGTCCAGAAAGCTGTACTCTGGCACGATGCGGCTGGTGGGGAGGGAGGGGCGAGGGGGGGATGTTAGCAGAAGGGGGGGAGAAGAGGAGGTCTAGGGATTTAGGGACACGATGCCCCCAGTCCCCTGGCGTCCAGAAAGCTGTACTCTGGCACGATGCGGCTGGTGGGGAGGGAGGGGCGAGGGGGGGATGTTAGCAGAAGGGGGGGAGAAGAGGAGGTCTAGGGATTTAGGGACACGATGCCCAAAATCCCCTGGCGTCCAGAAAGCTGTACTCTGGCACGATGCGGCTGGTGGGGAGGGAGGGGCGAGGGGGGGATGTTAGCAGAAGGGGGGGAGAAGAGGAGGTCTAGGGATTTAGGGTCACGATGCCCCCAGTCCCCTGGCGTCCAGAAAGCTGTACTCTGGCACGATGCGGCTGGTGGGGAGGGAGGGGCGAGGGGGGGATGTTAGCAGAAGGGGGGGAGAAGAGGAGGTCTAGGGATTTAGGGACACGATGCCCCCAGTCCCCTGGCGTCCAGAAAGCTGTACTCTGGCACGATGCGGCTGGTGGGGAGGGAGGGGCGAGGGGGGGATGTTAGCAGAAGGGGGGGAGAAGAGGAGGTCTAGGGATTTAGGGACACGATGCCCAAAATCCCCTGGCGTCCAGAAAGCTGTACTCTGGCACGATGCGGCTGGTGGGGAGGGAGGGGCGAGGGGGGGATGTTAGCAGAAGGGGGGGAGAAGAGGAGGTCTAGGGATTTAGGGACACGATGCCCCCAGTCCCCTGGCGTCCAGAAAGCTGTACTCTGGCACGATGCGGCTGGTGGTGGAAGGGGTTGAGGGGGTCCGGGGGAGAAAGGTGGGGCGGGGGATGGGGTTTTTGAGGGGGCCTAGGGATATAGAGGCACAATCTCCCCAGTCCCCTGGCGTCCAGAAATCTGTACTCCGGCACGATGCGGCTGGTGGGGGTGGTGGTGGGGTGTGAGATGGGCCAAGGGTAGTGAGGGGGTTGAGAGGGGAGGTATAAGGAGAGAGAGGGGACACCCCCAGTCCCCTGGCGCCCAGGAAGCTGTACTCTGGCACGATGCGGCTGGTGGTGGGTTGGGGGGTGGGAAGGAAGGAGAGAGGGTTATGGTGGGCAGAGCGGATTGACTCCCGAGGGTTGAGAGAGACACGAACACCCCACTCCCCGTGGATGTATAACGAGTGGGCTCATCTCGTGCATGAGGAGTAGAAACTAGGACTCTTTCTTGCTGTTCGCACACCACACCACACCACCCTACACCACACCATAGGTATATCTTCCCGTGCTTGCTGCTACCACATACCTGTAATCGGCGCCATTTACGTAAGCGACAACCTCAGCCGTCTGATAAGCCCGCTGAGAAATGGACGGCCAGATCCAGCACCCTCCACCGCAGGCGTCCATCTTGCGCAGCTTCCTGGCAGCTTCCACCGCCTGCTTCTTCCCCTCCCCTGACAGCCCGCTCTGCACGTTCGTCTTGTCGACGGGGTTGGTGTGAATCAGGCCCAGGGCCTCCCACTCCGACTCGCCTGCTCTTACTAAGTAGTATCTGCAAGGGGAAAGGAGGAGGCAGGGAGTGGGGGAGGGATGGAGGAGGGGAGGGGGGATATGTTGCCTTTCTGGGATCGCTCTGCACGTTGGTCTTGTCTACGGGGTTGGTGTGAATCAAACCCAGGGCTTCCCACTCCGACTCTCCCACTCTCACCAGGTAGTACCTGCGAGGGGTGGGCACAGCAGGAGTGGGGGGGGAGGGAATCCGCTCTGCACGTTCGCCTTGTCTGCGGGGTTGGTGTGAGTCAAGCCCCACGCTTCTCACTCTGATTCGCCTGTTCTTACTAAGTAGTACCTGAAAGGAGGATGGAGGAGACAGGAAGTAGGGGAGGGATGGAGGAGGGGAGGGGGGATCTGTCGCACTTCTCGGTTTGCTCTGCACGTTCGTCTTGTCTACGGGGTTGGTGTGAATCAGGCCCAGGGCTTCCCACTCCGACCCACCCGCTCTTACCAGGTAGTACCTGGAAGAAGTGGGTACATGCAGACTTGATGGGAAGGGGTTCAGCCTCAAGTCTTGTCTACGGGGTAGGTGTGAATCAGCCCTAAGGCTTCTCATTCCGTCTCGACGGCTCTCACCAGGTAGTACCTGGAAGAAGGACGGAGGAGTGGGATAGGGAGTGGGGGGGGAGATCTTGAAGCCTTCGCAACTGTCACATTCACCACTCTTGTACTTCACACAACCACCCAACACAATCACACTCGACACAACCAAACTCAGCACAATGACACTCATTACAATCACAATCGACACCATTGCACTCACGTGTTTTTCAGTTCGATAGGCGGCATCTGCAGCAATCCGTTGGCACGCGCAGTGCCAATACCCCCCAACGGTAACCCTAACCCTGACCACCGCAGACCCTCCCCTGCCACGTCAGCTGCAGATCCGCGAAATATCTCTGCCACAGCTCCCGTTTGCTCCACTGCTGCGCCAGACAGCGGTGCCAGCTCAGCAAACTGCTGACTTGGAAGCATGGACTGCTGCTGAGGTGGCAGCAGGGCCTCGGTGGTAAGAAGCGACGCCGCGAGCAGCGAGGGAAGGAGAACCCGCGAAGCTGCTGATTGGACGTGCGACTGCAGATTTCCGGAAAATGTCGAGGGTTTCGCGGAATTGTGGCCATCGCTAGAGCTGCTGCGGTCTTGACGGCTGGGAATGCTATCACTGCTGTTATTACCCCTAGTGCTGGTGGCTTGCACCTTGAAAGGCTTCCGCACGGGTGCTACATTGAAACGCGGTAAGTTAGTATCGAGTCGGGCTGCGGAAGAGTTGGTGTGCTGCTGTGGTCTAAGAATCGGCGGTCGGGAGTAGTGAAGGATTGACGAAGCCATTCTGCAGTGTTGCGAAAGGCTGCGAAGATGGTCGTGGTTTAGCGAAAACGATAATCTGATGTCACCTAATGTGGCAAAGTGAGCGAGATCCACTCAAGCCGGCTTGCGACGGAAGCACTAGTTATCTGTTAGCTACTTGAGACCGTTTCTCGCAGTCGCCGTCTTCCTAGCGCGCGAACAGACGGCTTATCCAAAACGACATGTCGTGTACGTGCTGCTACTCATCCAAGTTTTGCTCATAAATATGAAGGTATTCCGAGGCGAAACGTAAACCCAGCAGATCCCTCTAAAAAAAATTGAAGCTTTCAGCAGAAAGAAGTCAGAACTCCCAGCTACGCACTCCCAAAGAACATGGATTCTGCCGCGCTTCGAGTTTACATTCTCTCTCAGGGCAATAGATGTTCCCAAAAGCCCGCAAAAACAGCTGTACCACCTTGCGAGCGAGCATTCATGCACCTGGCAAAAATCTCCCAGCGGGCAGGAGATTCTAAGGTCTTATACCTGTCCTCCACCTGTTCTCGCGAGCATTTGGGAGGAGCAGCATTGCGATTGGTAGACCCTGCCAGAATGGCACATGCCAGGTGGCTGGAGGGACAAAAGTCGTGCCGACGCAGAGGATTGAACTCTGGACCTTCTGTTTACAAGACAGATGCTCTACCACTGAGCTACACCGGCTTGTTTTCGGGTGCCTAGAAAATTGTCAGACATTTTTACGTTCACGCGTCAATACCTCGTCACCTCCAAACACACCGTCTCACATAAACGTGTCAGTCAGCCAGCTTGCGTTCAGCGCTTCGTGTCAGAGTTGATAATCTTCGAACGACAGGTGTGCCCAAGGTCATCCAGCGCAGCAGCTGCACCAGCCATGGCGGTCTGCTCTAACCACGCGCCGCCGCGTGTCCCGACGCCAATGCAATCTGATCCCAGAATGACGAAATCAAAGCCAGCCGAGCCGCCGATTCCGTATCAATTAACGACGACCGAGCCGCTCTCCGAATGCAGTCGCGTTGCCAGCGACTCGGTCCTTGGAATTCCTAGGAATCTGGATATCTCCCGAGGAATCGCGAGCTCGTTATCAAGAGCTACTGTATCATCACCTGCTGAAGTAGTCAGTATCGAACCTGGTTAGCAGACGTCTGCTTGCACGGATTCCGGAGTCGTTAACGCTTGACGCAGTAACGCTGAAGGAAGAAGGGGAGGACGAAGGGGAGGGAGAAATACCTGGAAAGGGGTCCTTTTCGCTAGAGGTTACACGCTTGGCCGGATTGCTGTCGACTGTGCCTGCAGACTTATGCTGCTTGCCTTCTGACGGTTACTCTCGCAGCCATGGCGTCTCTGTCAGGTTTTATGGCTTCCAACTCCGCCGCAATCGCCGGGTTCTCCGCTTCAGGAGGAGCCACCCGCTCTCCTCGCCCTTCCCGTTCCGCACCAGCTCCGTTTCTGACAAGCTCCGTTGTCCCTCACCGATATACCATCACAACCGGTCTCAACCGGTCGAGCTTCCCTTTTTGGCACGGCCTGCGCGCTCCTAGCCTCAGGAGGCCGGACACCCCCTACCCCTCTCTCTTGAGAACCAGCAGCAGTGAGACCAGGAGAAACGACTCTAACTACGGTTCCAGTTCGAGACTGCCGCTGCTTGCTGCTGCTTCTGTTGGTGATGCTGGTGGTGATGGGGATTGTGGGAACAGGGGAGGAACAGGAGAGAGTGAAGGAGCAACGGGGGAGTTGGAGTCAGTTGGGGAGTTGGAAGAGAATGGAATGATGGGGAAGGGAGAGGAGCATCCAGGTGAGCAGACTGAGGAGCAGGCAGCAGCAGCGGTGCCTCCTGTTGCTTCTGATCAACCCAATCAACGGCTCACAGCGCATCTGGACTTGAATGAGGTGAGGCGGCAGCTGCAACGGTCGAATGAGCGGACTGCGGAAAACCTGAAGCACCTGAAAAATCGCCTGCATGCGTCCAACGAGTGGACGGCAAGGCACCTGAAAAAATCAAAACAACAGACCAGGGAGAACCTGAAGCACCTGAAAACTCACCTGGAAACCCACCTGCACGCGTCCAACGAGTGGACGCTTAGCCACCTGAAGAAGGGTCACCAGTGGACGTCTGAGCACCTGAGAGAATCAAATCAACGGACACGGGAGCAGCTGCAGCATCTGATTCACTCCGAGCAACTGCTCCATTTGGAGGGGCATCTGGACGTGCGGGCATTGAAGGCAAGGCTGCACGCATCTAACGCCAAGACCATGGCGCAGCTGAGGCACCTGGGAGTCAACCTGGAGCACCTGGAGGGGCACCTGGACGTGGGGGCGCTGAAAGCAAGGTTGGACGCGTCCAACTCCAGGACAAAGGCGCAGTTGAAGCGGAGAGGCAGGCAGGCGTCTCACACGGTGCATGGCGTGGCTGACGTGCTCTCTGTTATCGGCGCCGCCGCTGCTGCTGCCACTGCTGGTGCTGCTGGTTCTACTGGTGGAGCTGGTGGTGCCACTGCTGGTGCTACTGAAGCTACTTCTACCTCTGCTTCAGGATCTGCGGCTCCACCTCCTCTTGCTGGCTCTACTGGTGCTGGTACTGGGAAGGAGAGGGCAGCAGGAGGAGCAGATGGTGGGGACGTCTCCAAGACTGAAGGCAGTGCGAGCAGCAGTGCAGCGACCAGGAGCCTGGCTCGCAATCCGTATCTGAGTGGCAATTTCCGTCCAGTGGGCACCGAGGTGCTGCAGGAGCTTGACTGCGCTGTGAGTGCAGTGCACCTGCCATCTACTATATACCTACCTCCTCTTTCACTCGTTGTTTTGCTTGCAACGGCCCTGTCTCCCTTCGCCTCTGCTTTCTCCCTCCACCACTCTGTCTGCCCCTCTGCCTGGCTTTTCTGCCTGCCTACCTGTCGCTTGCCGGTCTTCCTGTTTATCTCTCGGTATCGGCCAGATCCCTCAGGGTCTACAGGGTAGGTTCATTCACCTCTTATCGGCCTTTTAGTTCTCTTCCACTCCACACCACACCAGGTGATCGGCCAGATCTCCCAAGGTCTACAGGGTAGGTTCATCCGCAGCTGCCTCCCTCCAGCCTCTCGCTCTGGTTCCTCCCAGCGTATTCACCTCTTATCGGTCTTGTACTTCTCTTCCACTCCACACCACACCAGGTGATCGGCCAGATCCCTCAGGGTCTGCGCGGTAGGTTCATTCGAAACGGCCCGAACCCACAGCTGCCACCCTCCAGCCCTGAGCTCTACCACTGGTTCGACGGGGACGGCATGTTACATTCAGTGAACTTTCACCCCCCTGGGGAGAACTTTCACAGTCACCCTCGTGAAGCCCGTGAGGAGAACTTTCACTCCCCGCAAGTGAGCTACAGACGGCGCTACATCCGCACGACAGGCTGGCAGGAGGAACGGGCGGCGGGGCGGGCTTTATTTGGAGGGTTGCAGCAGGTGGGCCTGGGGGCGAGTCATCTGCTGCTGGCTGCGATGAACCTTCTCGGGCTGAGACAGCAGGACGCACCCATGTGGAACATGGTGAGAATGCTTATAGCGAGTAGGTACGCTTATTAAGGGTGTGGTGGGGTGCGGGTGGTGCAGCAGGTGGGGTTGGGGGCGAGTCACCTGGTACTGGCCGCAATGAACATTCTCAGGCTGAGGCAGCAGGACGCGCCTATGTGGAACATGGTGAGGAGGCTTATAACGAGTATGGTGTGCTTAGGGGTATGGTGTGGCGTGGGTAGTGCAGCAGGTGGGGTTGGGGGCGAGTCACCTGGTACTGGCCGCAATGAACATTCTCAGGCTGAGGCAGCAGGACGCGCCTATGTAGAACATGGTGAGGAGGCTTATAACGAGTATGGTGTGCTTAGGGGTATGGTGTGGTGCGGGTGGTGCAGCAGGTGGGGCTGGGGGCGAGCCACCTGCTGCTGGCTGCAATGAACATCCTCAGGCTGAGGCAGCAGGACACGCCTATGTGGAACATGGTGAGGAGGCTTGTTAGGGGTATGGAGGGTTTGTAAGGGGTATGGTGCGTTCGTAAGTGGTATTGTGTGGCCCGGAGGGTTGCGGCAGTGGGGCCACCTGCTGCTGGCTGCGGTGAGCATTCTCAGGCTGAGGCGGTGTCGTGTTGTTGACGCACCCATTTCGCCTGTCCCCCTTCTCCCCTCCGTCCATCCTCCGTCAGACCAAGACCGTGTCTAACAACCACTTCATCCTGCATGCCAGTCGCCTCCTCTTTCTTCAGTGTTCCTCCGTCCCTCTCCTCCCTCCCTTCCTCTTCCCCCTTTCTTCCCCCCTCCACCACCCCTCCCCCCATCAGACCAAGACCGTGTCTAACAACCACTTCATCCTGCATGCCAGTCGCCTCCTCTTTCTTCAGTGATCCTCCGTCCCTCTCCTCCCTCCCTTCCTCTTCCCCCTTTCTTCCCCCCTCCACCACCCCTCCCCCCATCAGACCAAGACCGTGTCTAACAGCTACTTCATCCTGCATGCCAGTCGCCTCCTCTTTCTTCAGTGTTCCTCCGTCCCTCTCCTCCCTCCCTTCCTCTTCCCCCTTTCTTCCCCCCTCCACCACCCCTCCCCCCATCAGACCAAGACCGTGTCTAACAACCACTTCATCCTGCATGCCAGTCGCCTCCTCTTTCTTCAGTGATCCTCCGCCCCTCTCCTCCCTCCCTTCCTCTTCCCCCTTTCTTCCCCCCTCCACCACCCCTCCCCCCATCAGACCAAGACCGTGTCTAACAACCACTTCATCCTGCATGCCAGTCGCCTCCTCTTTCTTCAGTGATCCTCCGTCCCTCTCCTCCCTCCCTTCCTCTTCCCCCTTTCTTCCCCCCTCCACCACCCCTCCCCCCATCAGACCAAGACCGTGTCTAACAACCACTTCATCCTGCATGCCAGTCGCCTCCTCTTTCTTCAGTGATCCTCTCTCCACTCCACCCCCTGCTGCCACACCTCTCTGCCCACCTCTGTCCCTTACCGCTCCCCGCCCCCAATCAGACCAAGAACGTGTCTAACAACCATTTCATTCAGCACGCCGGGCGCCTCCTCTCCCTCTGGGAAGCGGGTCTGCCCTACTCCCTCGACCCCTCCACCCTTGACACCAAGGTACCCTCTCTGCCCACTACCCTCCTCTTGCTGCTCTTGCTGGTCATGCCGGGCGCCTCCTCTCCCTCTGGGAAGCGGGTCTGCCCTACTCCCCCGACCCTTCAACGCTCGACACCAAGGTACCCCCTCTGCCTCTTGCCCTCTCTGCCCGTTCCCCTCCCCTCGCCCGGTCGCCTCCTCTCCCTCTGGGAAGCATGCCTGCCATACTCCCTCGACCCCTCAACCCTGGACACCGAGGTACACAACCCACCCACCCCCCACCCCCCCCCCCCCCTCCTCTCTCATTCTTTGGAATCGTCTCTGTAAAACCTTCATGTGCCCCTCTGGGAAGCAGGCCTGCCGTTCTCCCTCGACCCGTCCGTCCACTCTCGACACCAAGTTACCCTCTGCTCTGTGCCCGTTTCCCCCCCACTCGCCGTTCTTCCCTCCTTCCACTACCCTAGTTTTTATTTGTGTCTATCTACTGGTGGGGTGGATTTAAGCATTCGGCCGAGTTTTCGCAATGCGATTTGAGGTTGGGATTGACGCTCTGGCAGCTACGCGAGTGCCATTTTGAGAATTCTCAAAAGTCACTCCCATATAGCTACGCGAGTGCCATTTTGAGAATTCTCAAAAGTCACTCCCATATAGCTACGCGAGTGCCATTTTGAGAATTCTCAAAAGTCACTCCCATATAGCTACGCGAGTGCCATCCAGTCAGTCCTGTCCAATCTTTCTGTTTACATATTTATTCATTCATTCACTTTCTGCCATAGCATTGTCCTCCATATCTGGTGAGCTCTTAATGTGACTGCTTTTCTTTCTTCTTTTTCTTACGTTCTTCCTTGGCTTATATCTCTCAGGGGGTCCACTCGTTTGACGACACGTGGCGCAGCGGCATGACAGCTCACCCGAAAGTGGATCCAATCACAAACCACATGATGATCTACGGTTACAACTTGACACACAAGGTACGAGTTACTACACACTTAACAGCTTCACACAGACAAGAGTAGCAAACCAACAAACCAGCAAGCTTCGCTGCTTTCACTCGCAAATCACCCAACCCAAGCATGGCTAACAAACGGGTGCTGCTCACTAACTAACGCCTCCTTGCCTGCCTTTCCCCCATCTCACATTTCACTCGAGCATCTCTCCACCCGTATCTCCACAATCGGTTGGTCGTCCCCTCTGGCACCAGGTGCCACTTCTCCCTCCCTTCCCCCGCCTCCCCCGTTCCCAGCCCTATTTCCCCGCTCCCTGTCCCCCATTCCAGTTCCGGCGCTTTTGGGTGACAAGAGCGCCGGAACTGGAACGGGGAGGGAATCAGTTCCCTTCCCTTTGTTGTCCTTTTGAGTTGATTCAATAACATCCCCATTTCCACTCTCTCCTTGTGCCCACCTCCCCTTCCTCCCGTCACTCCAGCCATACCTCCGCTACGGAGTGGTTGACCCCTCTGGCTCTCTCATTCACGCCACCGACCTCGACCTGCCACACCCTGTCATGGTACAGAGCGGTGGAGTAGTGTCTGATGTTGTAGTATGGTATGGCCTGGTGGGTTATGTTGTTATACCATTGTATTGATTGTTGTTTCCGTTAGGAAGTGATTTGGTAGTGTTCTGGGTGGTTCGGCATGGGATGGGGGTTATGTCATCGTGTGGTTATGGTAACCACTGTAGCGTCTTACACTCTTCCACTCCTATACACCTCTTCGACACTCCCATCCCCTCACCACCTCTCCCAACTCCTTTCTGCCTCCCTTCCCTTCTCTTTCCGCTCCTCTCTCCTTCCTCCTCTCTTCCTCTTTCCCTCCCTCACCCCTCCTCTCATCAGATGCATGGTTTCGCCATAACACAGCATCACAACAGATTCCTCAACTTTCCACCTCACTTCCCTCTACCCTCCTCTCCCCTCCCTCCCCTCCAATCCAATCCTCCCATCTCCCCCACAACGCCTCCCCTCAGATGCATGATTTCGCCATAACGGAGCACCACAGCATATTCCTTGACTTCCCGCTTCGCTTCCATCATTGCTCAATGCTCCCCTCTCTCCTTTCCCCCCGTCTTATTCCCCTCAACCCGCATCTCAGATGCATGATTTCGCCATAACGGAGCACCACAGCATATTCCTCGACTTCCCGCTTCGTTTCCAGCTAGACAAAGTCATTCAGTCGCACGGCAAGGCCAAGCCCTTCGTCTTCGACCCTGTAAGCTGCCGTATCTCACCCTTTGTTCTCCCTTCGATTTGTAACTGTTTTTGTTTTGTTTTTCCTTCTACTTCTTTCTTTCTTTCTTTTCTGATTATGTGCTTGCTGACTTCAAGGCTATTCCCAAACCTACCTTCAATCCCAGAACTCTCAACATTTCCCTACCTACCTTCAGTCTGAAAACTCTCAACACTTCCCAATCCTACCTTCAATCCCAAAACTCTCTATCCGGAGAGGAGGATAGGAGGGTATGAGAGAGCACTTAAATTGTTATCTGCCTGTCATGCGTCTTGCTCACCCCTCACTTATCTTGTCCTCCCTCCGCGTGCCCCTCACTGCCCCACTTTCACCTCACTGCCCCACTTTCACCTCACTGCCCCACTTTCACCTCACTGCCCCACTTTCAGTCCAAGCCATCTCGCATCGGAGTGCTTCCTCGCTTTGGCTCCAATCCAGACATTCGCTGGTTCACGGTTAAGCCAGGGTGAGTTGCTGTGACAGCCTGTCTTGAGAGAACTACATAGCCACAACAATCACCCGCAATTTGTCTCCAACCCAGACATTTGCTGGTTCACTGTTAAGCCAGGGTGAGATTTGATATTCTCTGGGCTTCAAACCCATTCTCATAGAATACTGAGAGGAAGAGGGGAAACAAGGTAGGCAGGCAGGGTGGTCAGCAAATCAAATCAGAATAAACTTCTACCTCCGGTTCCCCTGCTCCTCCTATTCCCTTGCATCCTTGCAGGTTCTGTCTTCATGTGGTTAACGCATTCGAAGAACCCTCTTCCGCCCCCTCTCCCTCCTCCTCCTCGTCCTCCCCCTCCTCCACCACCCCGGACTCTCCTCCTCCCACCATCATCCTACGTGTCATCCGCTTCCCCGCCTTCTCAGCGCTTGGCCTTGCTGAGCTGGCAGATGAGCTGGCATGTGATGAGGTGGCACAGCTGCACGAGTACAGGCTGGACCTCCAATCGGGAGCAGTAGAGGAGCGCTCCTTGTGCAAGGTACTGATGGATAGATTGTTTTGGGACATCTCACATCTGCCTTAACACCTCCAGAAGTCAAGGTATGGGAAACACCTTTTGGGGCTACTGGGAACGCCCCAACAGGCGGCGGCACGAGTACAGGCTGGACCTTCAATCGGGAGCAGTAGAGGAGCGCTCCTTGTGCAAGGTATGTGTGACGTGTTTTGAGGTGTCTCAAAGGTACGTTACGATAGGCGCCAGCAGGAAACAGTAGGGAGCAGTAGAGGAGCGCTCCCTGTGCAAGGTATGTGTAACGTGTTTTGAGGTGTCTCAAAGGTACGTTACGATAGGCGCCAGCAGGAAACAGTAGGGAGCAGTAGAGGAGCGCTCCCTGTGCAAGGTATGTGTGACGTGTTTTGAGGTGTCTCAAAGGTACGTTACGATAGGCGCCAGCAGGAAACAGTAGGGAGCAGTAGAGGAGCGCTCCCTGTGCAAGGTATGTGTGACGTGTTTTGAGGTGTCTCAAAGGTACGTTACGATAGGCGCCAGCAGGAAACAGTAGGGAGCAGTAGAGGAGCGCTCCCTGTGCAAGGTATGTGTGACGTGTTTTGAGGTGTCTCAAAGGTACGTTACGATAGGCGCCAGCAGGAAACAGTAGGGAGCAGTAGAGGAGCGCTCCTTGTGCAAGGTATGTGTGACGTGTTTTGAGGTGTCTCAAAGGTACGTTACGATAGGCGCCAGCAGGAAACAGTAGGGAGCAGTAGAGGAGCGCTCCCTGTGCAAGGTATGTGTGACGTGTTTTGAGGTGTCTCAAAAGTACGTTACGATCTTTGATCAGGAAACAGTAGGGAGCAGTAGAGGAGAGCTTCTTGTGCAAGGTATGTGTAATGCCTTTCTAGGCGCCTCAAAAGGCGGCTGCACAAGCTCTTTTGTGGTGTAACGAGTACAGGTACAAGCCCTTGCAAATTCTCGAGGCGCCTAAAAAATCGTCTCAAATATTTTGAGGCGCCTCAAAAATCTTTCTAGGCGCCTTAACAGGGGGCTGCACGAGCTCTTTTGTGGTGCAACGAGTACAGGTACAAACCCTTGTAAGTTACAAGGGGCCTACCGTCTCTTCAGCCCACGGGTCTGCTGTGATTTTCCCTCACGCTTAACTCTCGCCCATTTCACCTCATCCTTTTTTACTCACTCCTTTTGCATTGCTTCTCCTCTCTCTCCCCACCTGCAGGAGTGTGCTGCGACTTCCCCTACTCTAACTTTGCTTCTTCTACTTACATTATCTGCCCGTCCGTTCCCTCGCCTCTCCCTCTTCTCTCCCCATCTGCACAGGTGTGCTGCGACTTCCCCTCCATCAACCCCAATTTCCTCAGCCTTATCCCTTCACCTTCCCCATTTTGCCTTCCCCGTTTCGCCTCTCATCCCTTCTTTCTCCCCATCTGCACAGGTGTGCTGCGACTTCCCCTCCATCAACCCCAATTTCACGGGCCGCCCCCATCGCTTCGCTTACTCTGCCCGATTCACAGCACAGCCCGGCCCAGGTGAGGGTGAAGGGTGCAGAGGGGTGGACCTGAGGGATGTAGAGGGATGGAGGTGGGTGGACAGGGATGGTGATGGTGGGCAGGGAGGGGGTTTGGTAGACTCATCCCCCATCGGTTCGCTTACTCTGCCCGATTCACAGCACAGCCAGGCCCAGGTGAGCGGTGCAGAGGGATGCTGGTGGGTGGCAGGGATGCAGGTGGGTGGGCAGGGATGCAGGTGGGTGGGCAGGGATGCAGGTGGGTGGGCATGGGTGGGTTAGTAGCAGTCCGGATTAGGTGAGGGGTGGTAACAGTCTCCTGTGACGCGTGTCAAAGAACAAACTGAGGTTGTTCTCTGTGCCCAATGCCCAATGCCCAATGCCCTACTTCCATTCTGTATTCACTCCCGTCCCCCAACCACCAACAGGCACCGTCGTCCCCTCATTCAACGCCATCATGAAGCATGGCTTTCAGCACGGCACATATCAGATGCCCAATGCCCCCCTTTCATGTGTCTCCACTCCACACCCCTCCTCCCACTCCCCCAACCCACTACCAGGCACCACCGTCCCCTCATTCAACGCCATCATGAAGCATGATTTCCAGCTAGGCACGTACCAGGTGCATACCCTCCCACCCGGAAGGTTCTGTGGGGAGCCTGTGTTTGCTCCACGGCACCACTTTCAGAGCAGCAGCAGGTCGCAGAGCGGTGAAGCGCGGTCAGATGAAGTCGGAATGGGTAGAGATGTGGTGGGACTGGGTGCTGATGCGGTTGGGATGGGTGCAGAGGAGGAGGACGATGGGTGGGTGTTGGCACATGTATGGGATGAGGAGGAGATGAGGAGCGAAGTGATTGTGCTGGATGCAATGAATCTGGACAAGCAGCCGCTGGCTCGGATCATTCTTCCCAAGAGAGTACCGTACGGCTTCCATGGGACGTTTCTTCCTGACTGAATCCGTCAAGCTGACTGAAACTGTCACAGTTGACTGAATCTGCCAGAGATGTGTGCGCATGTTTTCGTTGTAGTGTACTGTAGTTGTCACTACATGCAATGCCTTGGAGAAGTGCTCCTTTTTGCTTGCTCGGAAAATGTAGACATTCCAGCACAAGATAATTATATAGAAACCACATCCACAAGCAAGCCAGCGTTTACAGGCTAGTAGTACATAAAATTACAGGCTAGTACTCATTGGTTCTCTTACAGCACTTCCTCTCACCTACATCACCCGCACACAAGAATGCGCTACAGAATTATTTGCGCCGAACATACTTCCCGCATAGCGCATACTTCTTCCCTTCGTGCCCTACAATGAAGTACTTCCCACCGCCAGTAATCCGTTTCGCATAAGAGATTGCAGAACTCTCCGTCGTCGCCGGCGATGTGGCTCCCAATCTGAAGCTGTAACGCTTGTTACCACCACCTTTCCGAGTCGTTATATTCAACCATTTGTCTTCAGGGAAATTCACGTAAGAAGGGGTACCGCTTGTGCAAGTTGAAGCAGGAGTAGTCATGGGAATTTTTCCTCCGGACTTTATGCCGAAAATAAATATCTTCAAAAAAACAGTGTATCTTGCTTCAGAGTACCTGTCAAGCGGACATGGGAAGAGACGGGAAATTTTGAAGTTAGTCAGGTTGCTAGTGCTGACTTACGGATACTTCCATGTCATAGGTTGCATAGGCAATATTGACTCGCCAGTAGCATTCTATACGTGCTCGCTCCCAGTTGAGGCTACAAGTTTTTTCAAGAACACAAGCGCTAGCTGTGTCGGTGTATCTGTTGCTGCTGTGCTGTGGTGATTCCTCTATCGTGTCAGCTGGAGTAAGTAAGCAGCACACACCTCCGCACCTCGCCATGATTAAACCCACTCACAGCTTAAGCACGATCTGACACACAGGAGAACCGCTTGATAGCAAGTAAGCAATGGAACATGATCCCACATAAATGGGACATGATCCCACATAAATGGGACATGATCCCACATAAATGGGACATGATCCCACATAAATGGGACATGATCCCACATAAATGGGACATGATCCCACATAAATGGGACATGATCCCACATAAATGGGACATGATCCCACATAAATGGGACATGATCCCACATAAATGGGACATGATCCCACATAAATGGGACATGATCTCACATCAATGGGACATGATCTCACATCAATGGGACATGATCTCACATCAATGGGACATGATCTCACATCAATGGGACATGATCTCACATCAATGGGACATGATCTCACATCAATGGGACATGATCTCACAGTTTTCCCACACGGTGACTCCATACACGTTTTAGGCGCCTCAAAACGACAGATCTTACGGCTTTCACACACATGATGACTCCATAAGCGTTCTTTGGCGCCTCAAAAACAAAATAGTGTACGAACTAGCTAAGAATAAATGAAGGACAGACACTCTCCCTACCTCAAAGCCTTCACAACAACTCTTCCAAGGCGCCTCAAAAGCCTTACCTCACGGCTTTCACAACAATTCTCCCCGAAGCCGCTCTGTCGCCGATCACTTTCCCCTGGTGCCACGAGGTGACTTTTGAGTCGACTCAAAAGTCACCTCAAAAGCCTTACCTGACTGCCTTGACAACAATTCTCCCCGAAGCCGCTCTGTCGCCGATCACTTTCCCCTGGTGCCACGTGGGACGCAAGACGGCGCCGAATCTCGCTTGAAAAGTGGGAATGGCAGGGACCGGGCAGACGGGGTGAAAGTCAATGGAGGGATACAATCATACAAGTGACACGTTGTATCGCTGCATGAAGGCGTGATAACAACATCAAGTCACAATGTCGCATGTCGCATGGTAGAAATGGCATTCCTCCGTCTGCCGCGGCACTATCCAGCCCTGGGGCACTATCCAGCCCTGGGGCACAGCTAGTCGAAGGGTGAAGTAAGTAGGTAGGTGGCACCATGACGCAGTGACGACACCACCAGAGCTCGTACGACCGCAAGAGCTCGTATGACTGCAAGAGCTCGTATGACTGCAAGAGCTCGTACAACTAGAACTACTGACAGTAAGCGTTTACACACAATCTGAGGCACGTCACACGCAACAAGCGCTGCACACGCAACAAGTGCCACACACGCTTACCTATTATCATTCCTTTTAACAGCTGACGCCTGGGGTGAAGAGTAGAGGTGGCAGAAGTGGCAGACGCAGCAATCGCTCCAGCGTCGCGTGGGAGGAACGATGAGGCAAACGCGCCATGGGCAGTGAAGAGTGCCGCACCTGCAGGCACGCAGGCAGGCAGGCGGGCAGGCAGGCGGGCAGGCAGGCGGGCAGGCAGGCGGGCAGCAAACTCAGCCACGGACCCAGTCGCGGAGAGTGAGCAGCGCACTGACCCACTCGTGGAAAGTGAGCAGCGCACCGACCCACTCATGACTGCTTTGGCATGAATCGATGATCATCTCACGACTCGTGATGGATACGCCGCTTACAGAGTAGCATGCAGAGGGGAACATCAATCGTTCATCACAACTCGTTTTTGTTGCCGCGGCGCTTACATAGCAGCATGCAGAGGAGTGCTGCGCGCTCCGAGTTCATCGCCATCGGCGCAGTCCTGGCAGGGGCAGTGCTAAGAGATGGAGAAGAGAAAGCGATTTCGACTTTTGAGACGTCTCAGAAGAGAAAGCGATTTCGTGGAGAAGAGCTGGTCATCGATGACCAGCTGTTCGATCGCAGAGCAGTGCCGGTCGAGAAAGAAGAGAAAGCGAAAGAAGGTACTAGCGCAAGAGATGAATTCACTCGTTCCAAAAACCGATTCACAATATTCATCCATTCACTACCAGTATCCGTGTACTCGCCCCGACCCGGAACCACAGACGTCAACATGCCTGTTCGATAGCCTAACAGAACGGGTACGGGTAGGAGTGGTTGGATGCACCTCATCCCGAACCTGACACTAATAAAATATGAAACCGACTAATCATTCTGCCGGCCGGCAACAGTGGCGAGACGACAAGGGGGAATGAAATCTGCCGGTCAGTCCGGCCAGCTTTGCAAAATCAACAGTAGTGCAAACAGATTACATGTTCATTCATTGTGTATATGCAAGCCCTACAGAAAAACTACAATATATCATTATATAAACATCAGATTAGTACCCATAGGTTCAGACCACGTCCAAACCAGAACATAACCATACATGCACGATATCCACGGAAATCACGCTTATTTCTGCCGAGCATACTTCCCACAGAGTGCAAACTTATTCCCTTCATACCCTACAACAAAAAACTTTCCATTACCCATCATGTATTTCGCATTCTCGAAAGCAGCACTCTTCGACGTAAGGGCCATACTGCCCTCCATTTTAAAGCTGTAACGGCCGCGACCACCACCTTGCTGAGTCGTTAAATTCATCCAATTGGCGTCAGGAATATTCCCGTAAGCAGGGTTAGCAGTTGTGCAGGTTGATCCAGAATCTACCACTGGAATCTTTCCTCCCGACTTTATGTCGAAGATAGCCACCTTTATAAAAATAGCGTAGTTTGTTGAAGAGTACCTGTCAAACGGAGATGGGAAGAGACGGCGAAACTTGAGGTGAGTCAGGTAGCTGATACCAACATGCCTGAAGTCAGCTAGGCAGTACTGACTTGCTACCAGTTCTACGCGCTCCCAGGTGAGCCAAAGTTTTTGTTCAAGAGCAAGAGCACGAGCACTAGTAGCTGTGTCAGGGTGTCCATTGCCGTGCTATGGTGATTACGCAATCGTGTCAGCTCGAGTAACCAACACACACACGCCTACCTCATAGCTTAGACATGCTCTGACACACTTGAGAATCACGTGAGAGTAAGTGATCCATGATCCATGTCACACAGCTTTCACACGTGATGACTCCATACACGTTCTTAGGCGCCTAAAAAAAACAGATCTCACGGCTTTCACATGTGATGACTCCAGAAACGTTCTTAGGCTCCAAAAAAAAAAAGAATCGTGTAAGAACTAGCAAAGACAAAGTGAAAAACAGGATACACTCCCTACCTCACTGCCTTCACAATAACTCTCCCCGAAGCCGCTTTGTCGCCGATCACTTGCCCGTCGTACTTCGTGGGATGCAAGACGGCGACGTATTTCACTGGAAAGTGGGAATGGCGGGGATCGGGCAGACAGGGGGAAAAGTCAATGGAGGGATACAAGTGACACATTGTACCGCTGCATGAAGGCATGATAACATGCCGCATGTCACATGGTAACAACATGTCGCATGTCATATAGTAACAACATGTCGCATGTCACATAGTAACAACATGTCCCATGTCACATAGTAACAACATGTCGCATGTTATATGGGAGAAATGACATCCCTCTGCAAGCCGCGGCACTATGCAGCCCTGGGCTGCTGCTGTTAAGGAATCGGTTGGCGCCGGTAGTGGGGAGGAGTAAGTAGCACTATGACGCAGTGACGTCGTTACAAGAGCTCGCGCGACCGCAAGAGCTCGCACGACCGCAAGAGCTCGCACGACCGCAAGAGCTCGCACGACCGCAAGAGCTCGCACGACCGCAAGAGCTCGCACGACCGCAAGAGCTCGCACGACCGCAAGAGCTCGTACGACCGCAAGAGCTCGTACTACTGTAGCTACTGACAGTAAGCATTACACACAATCTGATGATGCGCGTCACACGCAACAAGCGTAACTCACGCTTACCTAATCTTTTTCCTTTTAACATCAGACGCCTGGAATGACGGGTAGAAGCAGCTATCACACCCGCGTCGTGAGGAAGGAATGATGCCGCAGACGCGCCATAGGCAGTGAAGAGGGCCGCACCTGGACAGGCAGGCACGCAGGCACGCACGCACGCACGCACACAGGCATGCAGGCAGGCAGGTGGGCAAAAAGGCAGGCAGGCACGCAGGCACGCACGCACACACGCAGGAAGGCAGGCAGGCAGCACGAAACGAGAGCATGAGGAGCCGTGACGGTCAACGAGACGACACGAAACTGGCGGTTACCAGAAAACGTTAACGACAGCAGGTGCCAACCGACAGTGACTGTTCTGAAGGCAAGAAGCTGCGGAGAAACTCAGTGCCAGACTCAGCCACGACTCGTGATTACTGCAAGGCTTACAGAGCAGCACGCAGAGGAGAGTTGCTCGCCGCATGGTACGAGCCGCAGTCCTGGCAGTCGCGGCCGGGCAGTGCTACCCTAATATTGCAGAGAAGTGCTAATTGTCGCAGACAAATGCTGGTTGTCGCAGACAAGTGCTGGTTGTCGCAGAGCAGTGCTAGCAGTCGCAGAAAGAAGAGAAAGCGTTGATGGCGACACAGGAAGAACGAGTCACGTGCGGTGGCTGTGAGGGGAATTCTGGAACTCCTAAATATAAGCACGCAATTGTACTACACTTCTACTCCGTGGGTTGCGAGCGGGAAGCGCGAAAGTGGACAGGTGATCCCTGGACGGAGCGAGGCGAGGCGACTCGGTTCGGAGAATGGAAAAAAGGGACAGAGGGAGGGGGGAGGGGAGGAGGCGAGGCGGCGCCTCCTTCCCGTACGGCGCCTTGGCGTCAAACGCGCTCATCATGTGAGGGGGGTCTATCTGTCGCTGGTGCTCCAACGTGATACTATTCGAGGTGAGAGGTGAGGCGGCGCCTCCTTCCCGTACGGCGCCTGAGCGTCAAACGCGCTCCCACCCACGTGCCACGTTTAGTAATATTCAATCCAGCGTAGCGTTGGAGCACCACGTTTCAAGTTGGATGGCATTGCACCCGTCCGTACCAACGGCCGGATGCTGCCATGTTGGCTGTGCCATTCAGGTCTGGATCGAGGGATCTCCAACGAGATTCGCTAGATTGTTTAGGTTCGCTCCAACTTGGAACTTCGCGTTCAATATGTCTGTGATGAGTTGGCTCGGCCTATGCTGACTTGTGCTAAGCATGCGCACTTGACTCCTGTCGTGTGCCTGGAATTCTGCAATATCCATAACTCCAGTGAAGGGTGCTCCATGGCTTCTGCCTGGCTGTACTAGTTGCACCTGATAGAGACGACGCGGTTCCGACCGTACGTTTTACTGTGTGATGCTCGTGACTCAACATACAGTACAGAATAGAACGTTTTGAACAACCTCAATGAGGGGGCTTCACAACACACATCACAGTAAGATTGCCAAGGCAAGCAACACAGCACTGCTGGCGCATACAGCGTATTTGCGCATCACGTGAGCAGCAGCACCCTGTATGCAAGGGTTGCATCAGCGCAGCATAATGCATCGCCTCCATGCGCATTTGGAATCACAAGTGGGAGAAGAGGAGGTGGCTGGCGAAGCAGAGGCAGGCTTTTGAGTCGACTCAAAAGGTCACCTCGCTTTTGAGCCGACTCAAAAAGTCACCTCGCTTTTGAGTCGACTCAGAAGTGGGAGCAGAGGAGGTGGCTGGCGAAGCAGAGGCAGGCTGCAAAGGCAAGAGGGAAGGGGGTGCTCTTTTCCCTTGTCCCCTTTCTCTTCCTCTTCCCACGTTCTTCCCACTCCCCTCCCCCCCTCACTTCTTTCTCCCTTCCCCAGGGCCCTTCTCGCAACACGATTCGCAAGAGGGCAAAGAGAAGATGGCTGGCGAAGCAGCGGCAAGCCGCCAAGGTATCAACGCCGTGTGATGACGCTGTTCCGGTGCTAATGCTAAGATCATTTCGATCAAGCTCTATCAATCAAGCTGGTTGTTGAGAATTCTTAGAGACCATTTCGTTGTGTGACGTTGTGCTGTACTGTACTGTACTGTACTGTACTGTACTGTTGCTTGCTATGACCGCCTAGTTAGTTCGCTACATTCGGATCCACTGGGAGTGTTATGTACCGCACTGCGCTGCACCACACACCTTGCTTTCTTATTCCAACCGAGTTTCTTCTTATGCCAGAGTTGTGTCCAATCGTATTTCAAACCTTGGGAAGGAGGGCAGGCAGCAGACACAAGCAGCTGCAGAGAAGAGAGGGGTGGGGTGGGGCAATTTATGTCACTAATTCGCATTTCCACTACTTCAACCGTTCTGTACCACACCGTACCCCCCTCCTTTCCCACAGGATGCGCTGTACATGCAGCTGATGTCTGGAACTAGTACGGCAACAGTGACATGCACGAAAACAGGCACGGGGACAGGCACGGGGACAGGTACGGCAGCAGCAGCAGCAGCAGCAGGAGAAGATGGAGCAACAGCAACAGCTACTACAATGGGTGCAGGAGCAGAGGAGGCAGCAGCAGTGGGGGCAGGGAGAGGGAAGCAGCAAGGGGATGGGAAGGAGAGCTGGCTGGGTGTGCTGCAAAAAGTGGAAGTGAAGAAAGGGCATGTCAAGTTTAGAACGGGGGAGGAGGGAGAGGGGGAGGAGCAAGTTACGGACCGACGTCCTCTGGTGAGTTTTGAATCGACTCAAAAGTGGAAATGAAGAAAGGGCATGTGAAGTTTAGAACGGGGGAGGAGGGAGAGGGGGAGGAGGAGGATGAACAAATTACAAGCACACGTCCTTTGGTGAGTCTTGAGTCGACTCAAAGAGTTGAGGTGAACTTTTGAGGCGTCTCAAAAGTAGACTCAAAGAGTTGAGGTGAAGAAAGGGAATGTTATGTTCAGGGCTGGGGACGAGGGGAAAAGGGAGGAGGAGGATGAAGTAGTTGTATTCCCACCCACGTCCATGGGGTGAGCAAAAGCAGAAAGGGTGTGGACTTAAGAAATTTGCTTGAAGGGTTTTGGTACCAAGTACGGTACATGAGTAGCAAAAGCAAAGCACGATTCAATCAGTTGGTGTTTTGTCTGGGTGGTGCTTGCTTTCAATGAGCTGAGCTGAGTTTAGCTCAAGAGTCACAAGAGGCGACTTTTGCGACAATGAGCTGACTTTTGCGATGGCCCGTGATTCGGCTCAAGAGTCACAAGAGGCGCGGGCAGGCGATTTTAAAGGCGGCTCAACTGCCACGTTCCCTCCCCTCCCCTCCTTCTGTCCCCACTTTCACTGCCCCTCCCTTCCCCAGCCCATTTTCAACATGGGAACATTCAAGAACAAGAGGCGCGGGCAGGCATGGGGGCAACAATAGCCCCATGCCCCGTTGATAATGGGGGAAGAACAAGAGGCGCGGGCAGGCATGGGGGCAACAATAGCCCCCTGTCCTTCCCCCATTTGAACTCCCTCCTCCCCCGTCCCCTATCCGCTCCCTTCCCCAGCCCATTATCAACATGGGTCAAGTCAAGAACAAGAGGCGCGGGCAGGCGTGGGGACAGCAGCAGCAGCAACCCAGTCTAGAAGGGCAGTTGTTTCGCGGAAGAGGGGGCGGACGGAGAGAGGGGGAGTTTGAGTCGCGTGGA